ACAAATTATACTTACCAGGATAATTAACAATGACAAATTATACTTACCAGGATAATTAACAATGACAAATTATACTTACCAGGATAAAATGACAAAAACACATAAACCAGTGTCTTAAGATGTGTCTTAAACATCACTTCAACAGTGTGTGTCTCAACACGTACTTCACGGCCTGTGTACGTAGTTTGATATAAAGTTGAGGCAAGGTAGTCTAGTGGTAGGACGCCGGGCTCGTGACCGAAGGGTTGTGGGTTCGAGTCACATCACGGTACTGTGTTGTAACTTTGAACAAGATACTTTACCCCGCTTGTTTCAGTCTTCTCAGCTGTAGAAACTGTTTAATGTCAGCGCATAAATGGCAGCACCAGCTGTATGCTCCCCAGGGAGTTGAGAAATATATATTGGCTGTTTGCAAAGGCCCAATAACCAAGGATAACCATAATGATAAAATCATGCAAACCTGAATCACACTATTTATTTGGTTATTTAAAGCGACAACGATTGAATAGTCAATGTCACTGACACAATTACTAAAAGGAAAAGCGTGTGGGTCACATGAGAAAACAGAAGGACAGAAGTAGAATTAAAATAATTCGTAGATTGTGTGAATTGTTTAAATCTATTAATTATGTACACGTCCCTGTCTAACAGCCGGAATTAGCCTTGCTCTGACATCAATACATTTCCATCAAATATTTTGACCATTATGTTTGTCGTGAAACAGTGTTTTGATATCGACAATACAAGAAAAACTAATAATTTTGGCAGAACAATATCTTAAATCTGAATAAAACTGATCAATATACCATGACGATTGTCGGTCCTTTGATTTCTAGTTTATTTTCTCATTGTCAAATGACGCGTCAATGTCTTTTTGATATCATGTCTTCAGGTTGTATTGTAGCCGATGGTGATATTTTGAGGTCATATTTGATGATTAAACAGAAACAACCCCGTTAACAGGAAATGATATAGTTTCACAAACTTAACGTAAGGTCAAATAGACAAAGTGTCTACTTAGCAACTTTCAGCGTGTGACAATTTTCCCAACACGCACATCCTTAATGTTAGCAAAAATGAAAATATAGGCCAAATGCTGTCCGTACTGTTGATACACTGTAGAAACTCCAAACATCGATAGTCCGGTAGCCTAAACACCATTGCTAAGGTTGTTTTTACAGCGTAAACGATACAACGTGTGCTCAATTCAATATGCTAGATCTAAACTCAAGTTCACAGCACCGGGTGAAATAGAAATAAATCAATAAACTAAAATCTGAAGTGCTCCTTTGTAGTGGCGATCTTTCAAAACCACTTAACGGGAACAATAGGAAAAAGAAAACGCTAAATACATCTCTTCAAAAACATTCATCAGTTTGGAAATATGTAATATCAAAGTTTTATTTTATACACAAACAATGTACGTATTAAACGTGTCGCAACATTTCTGACGGACTAGCTGGTCCCTTTGTCAAGGTATGACTGAGTAAGCGATTTGTATTGTTTCCCTATGCAACGACGGCACGAAATTGTATATTTCATACATATCACTCGACCCGGGACGTTTCGCCTAACGACATCTATAGAGTGTATACACGCTGTATGGAATAGGTTACTGGTAGGGTGGATCTCTATTTTTTCGCATTTAGTGCTAAATGATTAACGGCTGATCAATATTGATTGGTAAATTCAGCCATAGGTAAGAATAACCATTCACTGGTAGTAAATTCATGACTTGGTGAACCACTTTAGATACAGGGAAAACTAGACCACCACGTGTTAAGCTGTAATCTACCACTCGTCCCTCCCAAGAAGATGGTTCAACAAAGGTTGTCTGTGTAAGGACACGCGACATACAACACTTCCACCATAAACAGTGTAATGACATCGTAAACAAGGGGTGGGTCAAGTGGACAGAGTGTTGATTCATCCTAGTCATGCTGTAAGACCATATCTGTCTACACTGATTCTGGAACACTATATATATACTAGTTTCTGTTGACAGTGATACCCTCGGAGTGACCCTAGGCACTGTCACACTCTACTGAATGTAGCATTTATTATATTATACCGAGAAGAAAAAACTTGGCGACTGAAACGAACCGTATGCGCATCTTCTATGCGCGGTCACTATTTTGCACCGTCACACACGATGTCTCTCGTTGCTAGGGCGTTGGGAAGTACCCTTCCATTGACTCAATGTTAAAACAAAAGTGACATGTGAAATGAACAATTTGTTTCGACCAATCAGATTACAGGATTTTCACTAAAAGTATAATTACTACACGTTATATTCCAAACCGTGATAATATTACAAATTGATAAACGTCACTTTGTTTCAGATTACATTACTTAACATTAAACTAACGAAACAAATAAATACTGACATGTGATCAAAGTCGATTACACTAGGCCAGAAAATAGAAACATATTTATAGAGACCATTGGAAAGTGACAAAGAAAATAAGACCAGGTGTTCCAGAAGGAAAAGCGTCATCTGTTTCATTGACGAAGTCTGCCATTTAAATCTATATGAAATCCAAGTAATGTAACGTCCTCTAAGAAATAACATTGGGTAGTAACATCACAAACCTTCGTGTTATATGAATACATTACTTCTCTTATCGCGTGACTTCTGAAGACAAGAACTGAACGACGCATGTTTATAAATAAATTACGAACAAGTGGTTTTCAATCGAATTAATTTTAATTTTAATATCAATATAATTTCACATTTATTAATGTTTATTAGCATCTATGTAATGAGGTGATAACAGTTATGTCCTCTGCAATAGTATCTTGGCAATTTAATAGAATGTTCAACAAAACTAAGGTATATGTCGATTAAAAATTGATTATCTTCAGTATTGACTTTGGCAGTAAAATCGAAATGAAATATGGTATAATTTATGTTGTATTTTTTATTGTATAAGCGAGTGAAAAGTCGAACAAGCTCCTAAGATATATAAATATATATAGTTGTTTACAGTTTTTGTCATTTTTTTTAAAAGTATTTTCCCTTACATACTGGCAGCGTTAAAAGGACCCCAAGCACCCTCCTCTTGTCAACTTGAGCACCACACTTCTACTGCGTCTCTTGTCATCCGCCACGTCTGTTTTATCGTTTGTACAAAAATCGAACCTTGATGATTGTTTATTATTACTGAAATGAAAAAGAATGGGAAGCAAGGTAAAAATATAAATGTTGATCTAGGAAATTGATATAAAAAAAATGTTCATCTAGAGAAAGGAACAGTAAGTGGATTAAAGAATAACAATTAACTCAAATGGTCGAAGGGAATCAGGACTCCACTTGACCACTACGAGTTCTATCGAAGCACACTACAGAATTACATCGCTACGTTATTTGAAACAAAAATATAATCGTGCATTGCAAACTGCAATTGTGAAATTCTTAGGACTGTAACAGATAAAATATTAAAGTTCACTCACCTCACAAACCACTCCCGCTACCTCGTACCAGTAACAGGTGTGCCTGCCCCATCCCCTGTGAAAGCAGTGACGGAAGTCCGTTACCCCAGGGGGACAATACACCATGTCCCACCCAAACCCGTCCAGCCTTCCTGTGTTATGCTGCACATGCGTGGCATTTCCCTCCCTTCAAAAGACAATGATATCCAAATTAATATGCTTACCTTACTATATATATTTGTGCTCGATAAGGTGTGTTTAAACAGTCATAGATAAAGGCTTGATGATATTTCCACATGTAATGAAGCTAACTCTGGTTGAATTAATGATGTCGTGAAAAAGATGGTAATGATAGGTACTGATCGGCACTTTATAAACAGGAATCCTGCAAACGACACTGCATGGCCGTTTTATAATTATATTTCGAAATAAACTGACAAGAAAGAGCGATCAAATTATCGAAGTTTTATGGGAGAAGGAAGATTTCCATTCCTTCATCTACAGTGAACGCATTATGAATAAAAAAATATAAAGTGTAAAACTTCGGACTTTCAATAACGTTCGAATGTAAGTTTCCCGTTTCTCGGTCAGTTTGGTAAACAAACAGTCAACAGTGACAAATACATAGTATGCTTTGGTAATATTCTATTCAAAACGTATTTACAATTTATATACATTAATTGTTTACTCCCATAATTCTAGATCTCAACACTGAAACACAAGAAAAAAATATATATGTGACCTCAGTCAATTTATGGACCACTTCGTTTAGAACAAAACGGGATCCAAAACAAGTTATTTCTACTCCATCTCTTATCTTACCAAAAATGAAACAAGGGTGATTTTTCCCTATATAGCACTCTTGAAATATTTGGTTAGGTTAGTGTTTTAAGTCCTATTAACAGCTATGGTCATTTCAGGACGTGCCAGGTTTTGGTGGTGGAGGAAAGCGGAGTTCCCGGAGAAAAACCACGGATCTATGGCCAGTACCTGGCGACTGCCCCACGAACGCCTCGAACCCTCGACCCAGTGCCGGAGGGCTAGTGGTAGCAGAATATCAGACGGCTTAACCACTTGGCCACTGGCACTGGTCCCCAATCAAATGTTTCATATGAATAGCAATTGCAGGTAAGTAAGAAATAAATGTTGTAGGTATTTGGGACAATGCTATTTTGCAATGATTTGAAATATATTGGCGTGAATTTTGTAAGTTATCCGGACAAATTATTTATATCTACCTTATATATTAATCTACGAGAAACAAAGATTCTTGTTTCCCGACAGTAAGGGCAATAAATATATCATGTTCATATAGGATTAATCGTTACGATAACATTAGCGGTTTTACAATACATGTTGAGATATGAAAACCGTGGAACAGGGTCTATTATTGCTTTTTCATGGTTAATATTCGAATATTACTATAATCTAATAAACAACCTACCAATAAATAAAGGAGTTCAATATCATTTGTCTCGATAATCAAACTACAGAGGGCGCCATCAGTGGCCAAATGTACCTGTATCCTAATGTCCGACAGACGGTGCTTGCGTCATCATTACCCCACCAATCATCGCACACGTCCCACCAGCGACCCTCGTGAAAAATGTTTACTCGTCCAGTCCGATTATTTTCACCGCCAACAAGTCGAATCTGGAAGTCTGAACAATGCACAAACTATTAATGATAACAAGTAAATCGTCGTTTAATTAAATAAAATCAAGGATACTGTTGACATTCTCGCCTAAAAACAGAATTGCTGTTGATATCCTCGTCTTAGAACAGTATTGCTGTTGATATCTTCGTCCTAGAACAGCATTGCTGTTGATATCTTCGACCTAGAACAGCATTGCTGTTGATATCTTCGTCCTAGAACAGCATTGCTGTTGATATCTTCGTCTTAGAACAGCATTGCTGTTGATATCTTCGACCTAGAACAGTATTGCTGTTGATATCCGCGACCTAGAACAGTATTGTTGTTGATATCCTCGTCTTAGAACAGCATTGCTGTTGATATCTTCGACCTAGAACAGCATTTCTGTTGATATCCTCGACCTAGAACGGCATTGATGTTGATATTCTCGTCCTAGAACAGTATTGCTGTTGATATCCTCGTCATAGGATCATAATGTGTAGATAAAACTTAAAACTGACAATCATCAATCATTAAGAAAAAACTTTATTTTTTTCATGTTTTTTTGCCGTAATCAGACATTTATATCAAACTAATGATAAGAATCCGAAGCTGGGAATTATCCACATCTTAAATACACTGAAAATATATCAACATTAAGATCTCCGTACCCCTGCCAAAAACAGTTACTTAGTGTTAGGAACTGTTTTTTTCCGGCATGACTATAGCTTGTATAAAGAAACCATACCTTGCAGGACTTTGATGAGAAATCATAAAAGATGAAATAAACAAAATATCATCAACATATAATCAACAACAGCGTCCTGAGTGTAAAAAAACACCCAGTGGGGCTAGACCGGGCTTCGAACCCTGAACATCGCGGGCTAGACCGGGCTTCGAACCCTGAACATCGCGGGGCAAGACCAGGCTTTGAACCCTGAACATCACGGGGCTAGACCGGGCTTCGAACCCTGAACATCACGGGGCTAGACCGGGCTTCGAACCCTGAACATCGCGGGGCTAGACCGGGCTTCGAACCCTGAACATCGCGGGGCTAGACCGGGCTTCGAACCCTGAACATCGCGGGGCTAGACCGGGCTTCGAACCCTGAACATCGCGGGGCTAGACCGGGCTTCGAATCCTGAACATCGCGGGGCTAGACAGGGCTTCGAACCCTGAACATCGCGGGCTAGACCGGGCTTCGAACACTTAACATCGCGGGCTAGACCGGGCTTCGAACACGGATAACTTCAGATTGATGTACTATCGCTATAACCAAATTACCTACCTAGTCAACGGAAATGACCTGACCTAATTGTGCTATAGGTACACCGAAACGGAAATAAAGGGGGAGGGGGTCACTGTATATGTAAGTGTGTTGATGGAGGGTTTATATCTGTATTGGTACCTGGAATGTTTTCCGTATAACAGCGGACTGAGGCGTCCATGAAGGTTGAACGGCACTGATGGGCGTCCTCACCCCAGACCAAGCTCGGACACTCCCCAAGGCGGGGCTCTTTACCCCCACAGCTCAGGTTACTTAGCCAGATAGGTCCGGGGGGTCGGGCTCCGAAATTATACCTTGCAGGCCACATCATTGCCTCTCCGCCGTGACTGTTTAAAAAAATAATTCAGATACAAAATGTTCACATGAATTACAAAACAATTACAACGTAATAACTGGAAATTTTCCAGATTATTTCACAAATAATTTGCGTTTTCCAACAGTCTGACGCTTTACTGAATGTTCTAAATAAAACGTACCGCCACCTACGAAACAAACGTTTTAACAAACAGCTGTAGAACTATGGAATCGCCTCCAAACCTTCCCCTGTACATGTCTATATTTTAGTGTATTTTAAGAAGTCTATGGAACCCCTGCTCCTCATTCACGTGTTTCATCTTGATACTTCCCAATGGACATCATCCTACATAGGCACTGCTCTATTTTGACTATGTTTGTCATACTTTTATCTTCACAAAAGCTGCAGTTTCAGTTTCATTTGGCGTTATTCACATTTTCTTTACGTTGATATTTTTACAGAATAAGGGGTATGATTGAATTTTGGCTAACCTATTAATGACAGCTGAATTATTATACCTATGCCTTTTGAAATGCCTTTTTAAATCAAATGATGAGGAATTACAAAGATGTTTTGCGGGTTTTAATAGTATATAATGTAGATACATTGGTTTTTTTTTATAAACCGCTTCACCTAAAAACCCCAGAGAAAAAATATGGTTATTTGTTAAATAATGGAAATAGAAATAAAACATCCGAATTAGACAAAAAAAAATCCACTAAGAGTGAGCCCGTCGTACGTTTTTGTATCGCTGGTCACATTGAATGGGTTATATACAAACGAGAGCTCACAAAGTGACACATAGAAATCAAACATAACTAAGAAAATCAAGATCATCACAGTTTATCTGGTGCTTGTATGATTTATTTTACGTTATATTAGCAGCTATGGTAATTTAAGGACTTGCCAGGTTTTGGTGGTGGAGGAAAGCCGGAGTGCCAGGAGAAAAAACCACCGACCTGCATCCAGGACCTGTCGACTGCCCCCACGCAGGCCTCGAACCAGTGATCCAGTGTCGGAGCGCAAGTGATTATAGACTGTCAGACGCCTTAACCACTTGGCATCCGCCACCCGATGAATGATGCTCATAAGTGAGCCTTGTGACTCCGCGTCCACTACCCGTGTTCTCGCTTTAGGGTTATGACATTACTTGGATTTGACCCTGATTTACATGGCGGGTGTCGTCTATGAAGCTCATGACGCTAACCCTTCCGGAACACCTGGACTTATCCTTCTTGTACTTTTTCAATAGTCTCTGTGTAAATTTTACCTTTGTTCACATTTTGCCCTAGTTTTATCTATTTTGAGTTCGAAACACTGTTTTATTGACAATTCGGTATCCTCTTGTTGTTTTTTACACTCCCAAGCTAAGATATTTAAATATGTGCGAGTAAAATTTGTCGAACTGGCGACATGGTAAGTACAAGGACTGATATCTGACGGTCCTGGGTTTGAAGGAACCTAGTACATACAATAAATGTTATATATGAGTGAGGACGATTCACTATAATTTAAAACATGTCGACTTCATTTTACCATCGCATGTTTTTACCTGTAGCCAAGTTGGTGACAAATGACGGCTGCGTCTCTGGGGTCCCAATCCTGGTTACACACTGTGCCCCATTGTCCCTCATGTTTTACCAGGACCCGTCCCTCGTGGGGCCCCGTCCCTCCTATCAGGCGCACAGGGATATCTGTTAAAAGATAACACACCAGGTACACTACATAGCATGTCTATGGCGATAACAAATAGTACGTTAGACGCAATACATTGTATCTTTTACGATAGCAGACGTTTAACTATTTATATCACTACGAGCTACTTATTTTTAATATCATAATCGGTCAATATCATGCCCTCAAAGTGAGAACCGAGATAATGACAACGATAAACGACTTTAATACCGCACAAGCAAATGCACGTTCCCAAATTAAATCATGATGGCGACAATAAGGCTGGTATATAGTCTCCTTCAACGTGTATCTCTCGAAACACAGTGTTATCAGTTCGTCAGTAGCCAGACGACGTTTATCACTGAAGTCATTATATTCGTAACAAATTATTGAATACCGTATCAACTGCAACAACTGCACACCGTAGGTAGGTGAAGCCTGGACGTTTACTATCAAGAAAGGGAAAGTTCAGTATTCGAAAATTGAAATTGTCAAGCATCAGACCACAGATAATGCTTCTGGTTCGTTGTACAAATCTAGTGCATTTCTCAATGTTAGGCTCGTTTTTAAACGAGTTTTTATTTCTTTTATGTGAATGAAATGAAATTATATGTCATACCAAAATGAAGCATGATATTTTACCCTTTTATTAACGTGGTTGATTAATTTGTGTGAAATAGATTTTGGCTTAATGATACGGTATGTTTTTGGCCCCATGAGAATGAATTTCAAAGTCCTCTCATTGTACAACGGGGTTACTGAGTATGTTGAAATAATTAAAATTATCTTAAAAAAATGCCGGTCATGAATACTTTTCCAGCTCACCACAAATGTGTCTTGGATAGCTGAACAAAACCTTTAAAGATGAGGTCTCGAGCAAAACTATATATAACATTTTCGAAAAAAAATATTCGATGGAAAAAAACATATAGGGAAATTAATTGTGGTCTGAGGCCTACATGCCAACATTAAGTTACCTTCGGATGGAGATGTCCTACAGGCCACGCCCACATCCGCGTCGTGATTACAAACACTCGGTGGGTTTTGACTCCATCCTGTTTGACTGCATTGGCCGAGATTAGTGGCATCCCACGGGCAGTCAAGGTCGACCATGATAGGGCCACGCCCAAACCCGTACGTCATTTTTGGCTGGAGAAGACCGCCATAACTTAATATAAGATGGAAAACAGCAAGCTAGTTACATCCAAAAGTATATGGTATAATTAATAAATGAATAAATAAATATAAATAAATAAATGAATAAAATATCGAACAATAATTATAAATATAATGAAATTAGATGGAGTATATGTTAGACAGTAAATATCTGCTTGAAGTGCATCTCTCACACACAGGGACCTGATCATTGGGGTTGGCATTTTGTTTATCGAAACTTAATTTAAATCCATAACACGCGTAAAATTACTCAGAACATCTCAGTCTCTGTCCAAATGTAACAAATTCTTAGGTCCCTGTGCTCTCACGTGATAAATATCGCGTCACTTTGACGTGCTTTGTTTTACAAAATCGCATTTAATGAAACAAACGTACGTAGAGCAACAATAATAATCTCCATTCGGCTAACCTCGGCCGATTCCGGTACCCTTCATCAAATATGATGTGGGTACGGAATTAGCTGCGGGAACCGTATAGCTACTATGTCCGATTTTTTTGATTTTTTTTTAATTGTTATCGGACCATAGACTATGGCCATAGCCTATGGTCCGATAACAATAAAATAAAAATAAATAAAAAAAATCGTACATAGAAGCTACGGTTCCCGCAACTAGGTACAGACTCTGCTGAGATGTGACGAGTGTTATAATCTCCTCATTCCCAATCGGGAATTGTTTACAGAAAGTGCCGAAGGTTCCCGATTGTCCTCATTCCGTGTTACCTAAAGCGACCTTAGATAACTGGATAGCAGAAATATGACACGTTAACTACCACGTGTATAGAACGTTTAACGTAATGTTTACATGTACATATTATATAATGCACATGTCTGTCTTATTGAAAACCCATTCGGAACAACTCGACCGATTCGCTAATCTAACACCCAGAGTTGTCGTTCCTTTTCAATCACACACGCCTCTGTCAACGTCTCAGATTTTACAAGATTCTTGTAAAACCAAATTTGGTCTCAAATCGTGATAATTTCATCTTCAGTGACTTCTTTTTTCATTTTTAAAATATTTTCTTGGCTATATCACTTTTGAAACGACTTTTAACAAGTAGTAATGCGTGAATATATACTACACTATATTTTAAGCGTAATATTCAGCGTAGTAATATAAATGTGGTTATTTAGCTTTGAAAATGCAGAGTTAGATTACCGAATCGGTCGAGGTGTTCCGAATTGGTTTTCAATAAGACAGGCAAGTGCATTGTATAATATTTACATGTAAAAAATGTGTTAAACGTTCTATAAACGTGTTAGTTATCGTGCCCTATTTCTGCTATCCAGTTATCTAAGGTCGCTTTAGGTAACACGGAATGAGGACGATCGGGAACAGGAAGGACAACTCTGTGTAGAGATTGTGTGTGTGATTGAAAAGGAACGACAACTCTGGGTAGAGATTGCTAGCTCTGATGAAAGGCACTGCAATCGGGGCGAGGAAATGTAACAGTGTAACGTAAATAGACATTTTAGTGTAGACAAACATAGCATACACATTCACATTGTAAAATTCAGGTTGTCATATAAAATTTCCTTGACCAGGTGTCATTATAATATTTTAGATTTTTTTATTTGAAAAAAAATATAATGAACACTTGATGTCCAACCTGTTGTTCCTAATCGGGGAACAGTTCGCTATTCGCTACCTAAATAGTAAATAATAGATACAGCCCATGTAAGTCACTTGTAAGATAAAATCAATGACATCATATCTTTCAGAAAGTTTCCTAAATTTAATAATATTACGTACATTTGGCTGTCATGACTTAGCTACAATAGAAACCGGTTTTATACCTATGATGAATAAATGTTGACGCTTGAAATACATACATATATGGAAATCTAAATTCAACACATGTTGCCTGTGACCACAGGTACTAGCCTCGTCTATCAATACATCTATAATATAATAATCGTATAGGTGTATTGACAGACGAGGCTAGAACCTGTGCTGTGACTATTCTTACAGTTGACCCATTGAGACATTTCCCAGTAAAAAACAATTATATGTCTCTCCGTAATGCCCTTTTCGCCCATATTTGCCGCTTCCAGTGCGTTGAATTGCCGCTGCCAGTGCGTTTTGATGGACCATCTGTGTGATCTCTAACGTCGTGTATTTAACATTGTTAACTCTAACGATTGGCTAACATGTTTACCTGTACCCGAGTACCTCACAGACGAGTTTGGCCTCAGCAACACCGAATAATACGTCACAGACAGTACCCCACACGCCGTCGTGGAACAGCTCCACCCGTCCCTCCCCGTCCCTAGGGGAGTCTGCCAACCGGACGGGTACCGCTACGCCACGTCCAGCTGCAGCAGACATCACGTCATTACAGTCTTTTATAACAAACATTAACACATAGTGTATTTAATATAAATGTACGACTTTCAATATGGAAACAAACTATAACTTGACGAAATGGAAATTCCACCTTGTGTATTGACTGTAGTTGCCTACTTGGGACAATACACAACTGCTTAAATTGAATGTATATTACTGATGTTTCAGCATGTCCATTGTGAGTTTGATTCGTCTACATCACAGGGACCTGGACATTTGTTACGGCTACATTTGGACCTAAACTAAGGTGTCCAGCGTAATTTTACATGTTTTAGGGGTTTAGATCAACTTTCGGTAAAAATGACACCCCCAATGATCATCTCCTATATATGATCAGTTGGGTGTCATTTTTACCGAAAGTTGATCTAAAACATGTAAAATTACTCTGAGGTCCAAATATAGCTGTAACAAATTCTCAAGGCCCTTTGGTCTACATCAGTTCGATTCCCTGAAAATTGCAGTCATCAGAAGAAGAGGAGTCGTGGGGCTGTATACTGTTCTACTGACACTACAGCGAGCTTGTATGTAATAAATGACGTTGTACTTTTGAATGGCTGATTAGTAAATTATAGTGTGTGGGTTTGATAAGCGCTTCGCAAGCCTTTTTGTTTTAAACTCCAGCTTAGTTGTGTTAGGGTTATGAAATGCATAGAATATTTAAGGATTGAATTTTGTTTTGTTGAGGTTTATGGGGTATATAGTATAAACCTCAATTGGTCTTGAGACAACTTTTATGAACTGCCAAGCAGTTCATTTTGAATTTGTCTCAAGACCCATTGAGGTATATACACCATAAACCTCAACAAAATGGGATTCTATCCTTATATTTACATTCAGAGCGATATTGATATTTGTTCCGATAATTTCTAAAATATCAGTCTTGTGCAAGTCTAACACCACGGAAGGTATCAAAACTGATGACGTCATCACTCACTGTGAGACGTCGTCCTGGTTAGATGAATAAGCAAATTAAAATGTAAATTATTTTGAATTCAATTGAGTACTTCTGACACAAAAAAAAAATGAAAATAATCTCTGAATGAAACTACTTCCCGCGCTCCGCGGAATAACAGAGTTATCAGGTTGATAATATGCTGATAATTGTAAAGTTCATTGAAAAATAACCTTTAAAATTTTAAGTAGGTATATTGAGTCCAAATTCAGTAGAAATGTAAATATTATATAATGCCCTCTCCCCTGCAGCATCAACACAGTACAATTCTACATTTATGTAACGTTATACGATGAAAATCGAACCACTAATTACAGGACAAATGACGCCAATGTATACTTTACCACCGTGTTCAGTGTCCACATTCAGATCATGGATAACCGATGCCCACACAAGGCTTGTGCAAAAAAGAACTGAATAGAAAATAAACATGGTGAATTCCATCGGTCAGTTTTAAGTGTGGTCCAGCCACCGCCTCTTATACGATTGGGTTCACGGCCGATGAGAAACGTTGCGGGACTGACAAGTATCTTGACACTAAACAGCTGTTGGCCATGCTGAGCTTAATTATCACTTACTAATTAATCAGCAATGCCGGCTGTTCAAATATTTGTTAACTTAACTAGTAGAAGAATATGAAGATTATTTATGAAATTGTTCTTTCGTGTGCCTTTTAATTTGTTGCTATTGTTGTAATTTAAGCATTCAAAAGACTGAACTTATCTATTTTAATATAGTTTGTTAAATATAACACAAGTGTCGGCTTGTTTTCCAGAGTATCCATACCGTTCTGTACTGTAGATGGTCAGAGACTAACTACGTTTTATATCATTGATATGTGTTAGGGTTTCTCATACATGTGATCACAGGGACCTGATAATTTGTTACAGCTATATTTGGACTTAAACTACTGTGTTCTGGGTAATTTTACACGTTTAGGGGGTTTAGATCGATTTTCAATTATACCGAAAGTCGATCTAAACCCCTAAAACATGTAAAATTACTATGAACACCTTAGTTTAGATCCAAATATAGCTGTAACAAATTATCAGGTCCCTGTGCATGAGATAACACAGGAATTCATACAGGGCGAGCCTAGTTTATCCACCCGAACAGTACAGATATTAAACCATCTACACACCAAGCAGTGCTCCGGTCAGAATCATTAAACATGTGCTTTGAGGCAAATCAATTTTAACACATAATACATGCAAACATTCACGCAAAATAAAGATACATTTTCCCTGACCCTATAAGTCTTTAGCGCCCCTATATCTGTTTTTTTAAAAAAATATGTTACTGCTTATTAAAATTGAACAAGGGATTAGGCACAAGTTATTGAAGAAAGTATCATCGTATGTGCGTATAATGGTGGAATATATAAAGAGGGTGATACAAATGTTGGAAAAAATCATTAACTCAGGCCGCTTAATTGCAATGAGAAAGTTATCTTTCCAACATTTTCGAATCCCGATCCATACGGTGATTATATTTATTCTACCAAGTAAAATGTAAAAAGTCTTTTTCGTGTCTACCTCAGTGTCCATAGACCTTTGAAAAGCAAAGTATCCTGGACAATTTAATCATTTAAATTAGGCTGTTCTTTTGGGCGGCTAACATTTGTAGCGTGATGTCCACCTGTATATGTCTTCATTTCACAACAGTCTGAGCATTTTGTCATTTCTGACCCTGCAAGCAAGTGTCCTATTTTGTCTATCTAACTTGGATATATTTGGGAAGGATTTTCATTTTCACTTGCCGTTTGGTCGACAGACGATAAACAGTGAACACTGACGTCATGCTTCATGCCAGATGTTTATTTCCGTCAATCATATCCACCAATCTAGAATCAGCATTTGACAAATTACAAACACTATTTCAAGTCACCTTCGTGGTAAGTTCAGCTTGACAGGTTCCAAGTAGATTTGTGTTTGTTGGACGGTTTGCATATCTTTAAATACCTACAAAATTAAATGGGGGTTGTGGTACCGGTGTACCCTCATTCGACAAATTGTCTACCGTTACATTAGTCTCGTTCAACCAGACTTTTGTTGTCTACGCAAGTGATCAAGCGTCTGGTTGAGCGACACTACCGTTACATTTGGAAGAGCGTTGGTCTGTTGGAAAACAATACACCCTCTTAATCGATCCTTCATTAGAGTTCGATCAAATGCTTTGGAAATAACTACAGAACACGAAAAAAATGTCTTTGTTTGATATCATGAAATTATTCGACTAGGTGGTGCACTAACATCAAACAAAAGGCCTTTAATTAAGTCCCTGGTCCGCCCTCAGGTTGAATACGCTAGCCCAGTATGGGACCCTTACTAGAGATGGTACAGCGCAGGGCTCGGTGCTCGTTTCGTTGCCAAGCGCTATTGTAACACCTCCAGCGTTGGCAACATGTTAGAACACCAAAAATGGCGTGGCCTTGCAGATCGCAGGAAAGACGCGAGGCTGACCATGCTCTATAAAATCCATCATAATAAAGTTGCCATTACCACTAAATATCTCACCCCTATAACCAGACAAACAAGGCATAGTCATCAAACCTCATTTCAAACTATCTTGTGCAGGACGTCTGTAAGGAAGGAGTCATTCTTTCCTCGGACTTTCAAAGATTGGAACAAACTCCCTTCTCAAATTATTTCTTCTCCTTCAAATCATCTATCACTGCTCATCAACATTAAGTTCTGTTCCTTTCATTTCATAGCGCTACACCTATATATATATGAAATGATCTTCACTATGCTGAAGTAGATCATCAAATGGTAGAAGTAGAATGACATGGTTGAAAACCAGACGGGTACACACAACATAAATTTGCTGTACGATTGCCTGCATGGAGACACCAAAGGGACCTAAGAATCTGTTACGGCTATATTTGGACATAAACTAAGGTGTTCAGAGTGGTTTTAAATGTTTTAGATCGACTTTCGGTAAACATTTGGTGAAGTAAGCTTCTTTTATAATCTTGATCGGTTTTTACACTTTATACACTGATCTGATTAAAATCATCTTTTTCAATTTCAAGTATCGCCGTCCTTTTTAACGTGTTAAATTAGATCATAAATGATCGATGCAAGTGGTGACTTACTAACACAAATTAACTATTGCAATAATAAATGAAAGAATCTGCAACTGATACAATCTTTATTGTTCTATCAAAATCGTTGAACTAGAATTCAAGAATGAAAAAAAATGGAAATAGATTCAATTCTCACACCACCGAGTATAGCTTGCTGTATGCATACCCTTGACATAACTACACTTGTAAGTACCACATGTATGCCAATAAACAAGCTGTTTCATACAACCCATCCCGATTCTTGAAGAAAAAAAAAACAATATTAGAGATCGCTTTTTAAAAAAGTGCATTCGAAGTCATTTCTCAATTTTCTTATATTGTGGTTAAAATATTCAATTCGTTACTGACAATTCTTGGTTCGTTTTATTTCGAAGTTTTGAATGCGAAAATGTACACATTTCAAACTCGTATATGAAAGGAATTTTTCACCTACGTCTGGTAAAGACCAATGTTTGCTAGTAATTGTAAAAGGAGAAATATTTTTAATCTCAATTTAAATTGCTTTCCTGATTTTTCTTTTAGGCACGACACAGCGTCAAGTGTATAATGATGCAAGAAGTATGAAAATCGGTTGTACATTGTATATTTTCCCTTACAATATCAAGGATAGAGAAACCAAAATAAGTGTGCAGACTACTGTGGCACGATTAAACCCACAGCACATACTGTATGTATTGTATATGTATTTGTGTTACTCAGTAACGCTCACCCTCGAAACCTCAGGGATTACACTCACTTCGCTCTCTGCACCCCTAGACTATGTCATAGTAAAATCGAAGGCTCGGTGTACGCCACCCTGTGGATGAGACGAGAAGACTATTTTGATCATTTGATGTACATCAACATAATCTGTCGGTGTCAGTCGGGAAACGGTAACATTGACTGGCTTTGTATCAGCCAAGCGACTGGTCAGGTATTTGTTTTACCAGAGGTCAATCAAATAGCAAGTCGCGTGCCTTCAAATCTGCTATAACATGTTCCTGGGGTGCAGAGAGCGAAAGTGAGCGGAACCCCTGGAGTATCGAGGATACTTATAAATAACGCCGTGAAAGGTGCATTCCACAACAGGATAAAGAAACGTCATTTTTTTCTCCGGAAAAAAGCCAGTCCATACCTTATGTTACCGTTGGCATTTTAATATTAACATTTAATATACAACAATAGGTGAAATAGACAAATGTTGAACACTCCAGTAAATACTGTCCTCTTACATAAAATATAGTTACCATGACTTGTATTTTGTTATGGAAAGAACAAATACAAAATGTTAAAATACTAGAAGGAAAACTAAACATAGATGGGGGGTTGGGGGGT